GATAAGAAAAAAAGTATAGAAATCTATCACTGAAGACTAATCTGAAGAAAAGAGCAGCAAACTAAGAGCTGGCAATCCACGAATTTCTAAAAGTAGAAGGAAGATGAACCAGAATGTCTAAGATATATCATTAACACATTTCATGAAATAAATTGAAGCAAACATTTTTGCTGGGTGCCAGCAGCTCATACCTGAAATGTTAGCTACTTAGGAAGCTAAGCTCTGAGGATCACAGTTTAAAGGAAAGCAAAGTCCCTGAGACTCCTATCTCCAATTAACCACAAAAAAAGAAAAAAAGAAAAGCCAGAAGTGGAGCTGTGGCTAGCTTGAGCAAAATTTTTTGCTCAGGTGGAATACCCAGGTCCTAAGTTTAAGCCCCAGGACAAACATAAGTATATGTTCATTAAATGCTATGTGAAATGTTGAGAAAAAATTCAGGAAGGGAAAGGGAAAGGGAATGTGGATGTAGCCTATTGGTAGCACATTTGCTTGGTTCCCATGAGGCTCTGGTTTCTATGCCTGGTAATACAATTCAAAAAAGAAATAAAAAAGAGAAAGAGAAAAAAAAAGCTATAATTCCATTATCCAAAGGCAAGCAATTTTCCTAGTCATTATATTCTTTTTGTTCTTTTTTCTTCTTTTTGCCGGTACTGGGGCTTGAACTCAGGGCCTGGGCACTGTCCCTGGGCTTCTTTGGAGCCACAGCCAATTCTGACTTTTTCTGTTTATGTGGTACTGAGGAATCAAACTCAGGGCTTCATGTATGCTAGGCAAACACTCTACCACTAAGCCATATTCCCAGACCATCATTGTATTCTTGAACTCTTTGTCTTATGAGATCAGTTAATTTAAAGAAAAAAAATTAAAAACCTATAATAACCTATGCTAGTTTTCATTATCTTATATTTAAAAAACAAACAATGCAGATGAAATAGTATGAGTTACTAAATTGTCAAACTCTACTACTCTCTAGGTATGTTACCTCTTCTTAAAAATTCCATTTTGAGAGATGGCAGTGGTAGAGCTTGAGGTCCTGGTTGACTCTTAATACTAGAAAAAAATGATAATTCATCTAGCTTTAATTTTCTCACTGTAGAAATCTGATCATGTTTTTACTCTGTCAGGATTAAAATGAAAACATTAACTGAAATTAATGGATTATACTCAACACTTTGCTAAAAATATGTGGGAAAGTGGCAAAATTAAGGGGAAAAAAAGGAGATTTAAAGCTAGAAAATCTGCATACACAAAAAAACATACCTTGAAAATCTGAAGTTCAAGAGGATCCAGCATCGCTGAAACAGCATAAAGCATTTTACGTTACTACAAATATTTAAGTGTGTTTCTTTAAAATTTCAAAACCCTGAAAAATATCATGGATGAAAATAACCACTTTATTTATTATGGCATTCCTGGGGTTTGAACTCAGGGCCTTGAACTTGCTTGACAGAAGCTCTACACTCAATCCACACTTCCAAACCTATTTTTTGCTGGTTATTTTTGAGACAGGGGACCTTAACCTTTCCTGCCAAGGCTGCCTTCAAAAGTAATTCCTCTGCTTTTAGCCACGAGTAGCTAGGGTTACACATAACGACAAAATAGTTGTAGTTTCTTGCAAGCTAATTTAGTAAATAAGATTACAGAAAAAGGCAATGTTGCAAAATGACTATAGATTGTCCTTTCACTAATTTCTAACAGTTACATATGCTTATACTTAAGGTTGAGTAATAAGCTTCATCTAAAAACTAGTAAATGACTCTAGATCTTAATAAAATTGCCTTTTTAGAAGCTGGTTATGGTGGCACAAACCAGTACTTGGAAGGTTGAGGCAAGAGGATCTCTAATTTGAAGCTAACCAAGGCTACATAATGAGTTTGAGGTCAAAGAGACCCAATTTTGTACCCTTCTCCTAAAAAAATTGCTTTTATGATATGTGCTATTAAATTCTGTCTTTTAAGGTAACAGTTATGATTTCAAAAGGCAAGTGGTAGACTACTTTGATTAGGAAAATGACCTAGGCTTGTCAGGATTCATAATGTTTCTAGAAGCTATATGCCATTTGATCATTTATACTACTATGCTCTTTTTTTTTTTTTTTTGCTTTTTTTCTTTTTTGCCAGTCCTGTGGCTTGAACTCAGGGCCTGGGCACTGTCCCTGAGCTACTTGTGCTCAGGGCTGGCGCTTTACCACTTGAGCCACAGCACCACTTCCAGCTTTTTCTGTGTATTTGGTGCTGAGGAATCGAACCCAGGGCTTCATGCATGCTAGGCAAGCACTCTACCACTAAGCCACATTCCCAGCCCAATGCTATACTGTTTTATACCTTATTAAGTTACAAAAGGGCAAATACTGTTTTCTTCCAAAATAAATAAGTTTCAGAATACATTCAGGAACAAAAATATCTTTAGATTTTGAACCCACTTCAATGTTACTTTTTCAATACTTCATTCTTTTCAGCTACTCTCTCCTTCCACTCTCATCTTTCACAGGATTAGTTATTTTTTACATCAAGTATGTATTTTATTGAAAAGGCAGCAAAAACAAAAAACAGCTCCATCCATTAAGGCAGGATTGATACATTGTGATATTACTTACATAGATAATATTATAACTGATAGGCTGGTAATGTATGTATTTTTTCTCACTCTAGTATTTGTGAGTCTGAGGATATTAATATGGTCACAACACAGCAACTAACCTTCACTGAATCTTCTATTTCAGCCTAGTTTTCAATTAGTTCATTCAGCTATGAGTAACTATGACACAGTGATAAATACATTGATTTCAGAAAATTTTATAGTCACACAGCTACATTGGTTTTACTTTTTAAAAAAATATAGCATCTTAAATAACCAGGTGACTTTGCAATACAGTACTTAATTTACACTGGTTTCATTACTGCACTATCACTTTGTATGTATTGTTTGAATGTCCATTTCCCTCAACAGGATCTCACCTCACTGAAGCCATTACCACTTGTAGGCATTTGAAACAAATTGAATTGTAAAAACATATTGTATTTGCAAATGGAAGAATTTACTGCTTAATATTAGAAAATTTTACTGGATGATTTAGCCCCACTGTAAGTAAACTCAGTAAACGTTCCCATTTATAATTTGAGACATTATTAACAATTCATTTTATATATCCATGAATATCTCCTATGTATTGTTTTTAAATTAAGTTTTCATTATCTTTAAATAGTTGTACAACAGGTTACCATTCAATATGTCAGTATATGAGTACAAAGCATCTTGATAATGTCATCCTTTCAATCACTTTCCCCCATCCCTCCTAACTCCACCTATCACCTCAATTGTCCTAGTTTTTTCTATGTGTTAGCATTTTGGTGACGCTAACTATCATCTCCACCTAAGAGATGAGGAATTCCACGTTCAGGAAAAGCAGCATATTCAAGGTCATACAATGTGTCAATAGTTAAATGAAAACCTAGGATTCGCCAATCTCTGGGCTTAAGCTCATTCAACACGTGAATCCTTCAAAGCAAAGTTTCCTTTACCTTGTGAGTCAAATGCTTGATTGCTAAAGTGGAAAGAAAGGTCATGTGTACCATTCACAGTTTTAAAGTCTCCTAGAATTATAGACATCACATCTACAGTATTTACAGCCACAACTCCTGTTTCAACTTGCAGATTTTTTTTATGTTGAGCTCTGAATAAATCTCACCATTTATTTAATTTATATATAATATACGAATATTATGTTTCTCTTAACTCCACACTCTACCAAATGATACTGGACAAAAAATTCTAACTCACTCTACTCCAAACCTGAATGATCTCCAAATAAAAATTAAGGTACTCATTTTAAAAGGATCATCTCAGGTACCTTTGTTCTGGTGGGAAATCAACAGTAGGCTATTCTACAAATCCCAAGTTCTTGAGCCAATCACTCTTCCTTTTCATTCATAAATTGAATGCGCTTACAACGCAACTAAAATGAAAGAACGACTCTTGATTACAACGAGTCTGACTGAAATTGGGAGACAGCATAAAAAAAAAAAAACTCCGAGAAAAAAAAAAACCTCAAAGATAAACACGAATGGAAGAATATCAGTATGAAGGTTTTCATCAAAGACTCGTCGAGGTAGAACGTGAAGACGCAAGAGCCTAAGCTCGAGGCCCAAGATCTGGTCACGTATCGTAAGGATCAAATGAAGCGTTCAACAACAAAGCTCGAACCGTTTCTTTTAGATTTACAGATTCACGTCAGTGAACTTTGGGTGGGATCTGAATAGGCAAAACAAGGCACTGTCCTCTCAAGGGCTATCGGGATAGTGCAGAAACAATCATGCAATGAATCCTACAAAAATGACGAGGGAAAGGCAGGAAGGATGCCACTCCGGGCTGGCTTTTTCTCTAACGATGTCCAAAGATCCGGTCTCTAACCGTGCGGCCGAGGGGCTGGACCCGCTTAAGAACCCGGATAAGGCTGGCTGGGAGGTCAGCCTGAAAGGTAGCAGCAAGACCCTCCCCCGGTTGGGTCCGGACTCCAGGCCGGACAGTGCCACGCTTTCCCCGCTCACCTCCCGGAGGGCAGTTTCACCGGGGCGGTCCGGGGAGCTGCCGCCATCACCATCGCCATCACTCCGGGCGTTCGCTCCAGTGGAGAAAGAGGCTTGGCCCCTCCGGCACCTCGTGCAGTTCCCCCCCGGCAGAGGGACTTCCTGCCACCGCTTCCGAACCCCCAGGCCTCATCAGTTCCAGCGTCTGACTTCCGCGGTGCCCGCCTCAGCCGGCTTCCCCGGCTCGCCACAACTTCCGCGTTCGACTCCCCTCTTCCCTCGCTCGCTCGCTCTCGGCAACCGGCTCTTTTTTTTTCCTTCCAGCCGGCGCGCTGCTGACGCCACCACCCCGCGACCCGGGGTGAGACCTGCGCGCGGCGTGGGCGGGCCGCGCAGGCGCAGTGCGGCGAACGCGCCAGAGCGCGGGAACTGCGGGTAGTGGCCGTGCACCTGGTTGGGCGGCTCTGTGGGCCTGGAACGCGCGCCTTCGGGGATTGCTGCGGAGGTCCTCCCTGTTCCCACAGCCCGCGCGGAGGAAAAGCGCGTGCCCCTCCCGCTGTAACTCTCCTGGGCGTCCTGCAGGTGCTATACGGGTGGGGACACCGGTCCGGCGGAGAGCTTGCCTGTGGGGTGCCCGACCTTCCCTACTTCTCCCCCCCCCCCCCCCCCCCCCGGGACTCCTGGCTCTCCTGTTTTCAACGTAAGACGAGCTTTCCTCTGATCTCTTCTTAGGTCGGGGGAGGAAAGGATGCCGGCCACACAGAAGCCGGTGAGATACGGACATACAGAAGGACACACGGATGTCTGTTTTGATGATTCCGGGAGGTAAGGCTCTTTGAGGAAACGAACGATTTTGTTAGTGCACGTATTTATTCATTTATCATTTTTAATATGGCATGGATTCATTTTTCGGTCGAAAATGACTCAATGCAGAGAGGAATAATACTGGGATGTAAACTGCACCAATGTTTCGGTAGGTTTGCTTGGCTCCGACTGTCATGTACTTAGCATGTCAGAAATTGTAGTCTGTTGAAATCTTCCTTGGGAAGATGCGAGCTCCCCTCACCGCCCGTTTTTCATTTTCTCAGCGTTTCACATTAATTCTGCCAGATGCTAGATAATCCTTGCCCAAACCAGTGGTCTGTTGTTCTGTGTGGTATAGCTTCCCTTGGCTTTAGTGATACTTTTTCCCTTTCTTAAATGTTCCGACTTTTCTTTTTAATTGATTTTTCTTTTGCATGGTCCCTTAACGGCGACATGTTCTTGTTATTGATCTTTTAAAATCCCTTCCCATGGAGTACTGTCTACTGTGTGACTTCACTGCCACTCCTGTGTTGATTGATTCATTGACAAAGAGGTGTGTGTGTGTGTGTGTGTGTGTGTGTGTTTGTCTACTCTTCTGGGTGTTAGAAATACAATAGTGCAAACGACTCATGACCTTTTCCTTTATTGAGCTTAAAGGTGTTTGGAGGTTGATAGACAGTAAATTCAAGTTAATCACAAAAATAAATGTGTATTTAGAAATACAGTTAAATCCCCCTTTAAAAGCATTCAGTAGTCCTTTTGTTAATAGCTGATGAGCTGTCAAGAAAGAGCTGAGTAGAAGCACTGATTTTAGATGAAGTAGCGCTGGCCTGTTGAGTAGTTTTGCTTCAATCAGTGGTATGACAAAGTGAAAACAAAAATAGAAATACACTTAGAAGTACTAAGTGATATGTGTAGTGATAAATGTTTTGTAGGGGGAGTTGGTTAGTTTGAAGTGGTAGGGACGGCTTTTTAGGAAGTGTTTTTTGAGAGATTAGAAGGTTGAATAGGATTGAGAAGTATAAAGAGATGGGGGTATGTGTGTCAATGTGGTGATATTGGAGTTCTAAGTAGGGGAAACACTGGGTTAAAAGGCTCTGTGACTCCATCAGGCACCATGGTATCCTCAAGAACTGAAAGTTATTGGTACTATAATGTAGGGGAATGCTGAGATTGATGAGAGATGAGTATGTGACAGTAAGTAAGGTGAGCCCTTTGCTTTCTGTTTTTGTTTTTGTTTTTCCCAGTCCTGAGGCTTGAGCACAGGGGTCTTGAGGCTGTCCCTCAGTTTTAAAAAGCTCAAGGCTAGCACTCTGCCACTTGAGCCACTAGTCTACTTCTGGCTCCTTCTGGTGCTTAGTTGGAGCTAAACGTCTCATGGAATTTCCTGTCCAGGTTGGCTTTGATCCACAGCCTCCTGAGTAGCTAAGATTAAGGTGTCAGCCACCAGTGCCTGGTGGCCTTTTTGTTTGTTTGTTTGTTCATTGTGGGGCCTGAACTCTGGGCCTGGGCTCTGTCCCTCAGCTCTTCAGCTCAAGGCTAGCGCTCTACCACTTGAACCATGGTGCCACTTCCTGCTTTTTCTGCTTATGCGGTGCCGAGGAATTGGACCCAGAGCCTCATGTATGCAAGGCAAGCACTCTACCACTGAGCCACCTTCCCAGCCCACCTGTTGGTTTTAAGAAGGAATTTTGTTTTTATTCTGAAAGCAGTGGGAAAGTAGTGAGTTTGAAGCAAAGGAAATGTGATGCATGAAGGATGAGTTGGAAAAGGAGCAAGAATGGTTGTAGACTGTTAGGTGTTTGTATTTGTTTAGGTGAATGTGCTAGGAACTTGAACTATAGTGGATATTGGTGGGGAGAAAAGAACACTTATTCAGGAAATAGTTAAAAAGAGAAGTCAGTAGGATGATCCATGTATTAAGGATGAAGAGAGGTGTCAGGGATAAAGTCTACATTGTGGGATAGGACAGTTGAGAAAAATGACACTGCATGTATTAGAAACACTTACCACTTGAAAAGTTGCTGGTGAGTGTTTGTATTTGGAAATGGCTGATATCTGGTTTCTTTTGAGGTATTCAACTGGAGCTATAAAGAAAACAGTTGACTAAGTGAATCTAAAATGTGAACTATGTACATTTTTAGTTGATACCTCTGAGTTCAGCATTGAGGTCCAGGATGGAAACCTGAATGTGGGTGTGGTCTGTATATAGAAGGTATTCAATGTGTTAGCTTGGATGAGAGCACCTAGAGAAAGTGTGAATGTAGGTAAAAAAAGAAATTCAAAGGTTAGCCCCTGGGTTACTCCAGAATATTTAGAGATCAAGTTAGAGGAGGATCTGTTGAAATGGCAGTCTTACGAACTTGTTGCACAGCTAACCTGTAACCTTGATTCTCCCAATCTCAATTTCCTAAATAGCTTGGATAATAGATGCGTTCCAGGGCTGGGAAGATGGCTCAGTACATGCCTTGCATGTACTGGGTTCAATTCCTCAGTACCACATAGAAAAAACCAGAAGTGGGGCAAAAAGGGTTTCACCAGCCATTTCTCAGATTAACCATGTTAAAGTGAGGATTGCATTTGTTGCATGTGTGTTGCACTATTAAGCAAGGTCATGGCAAAAGGTGGAAGTGAAAAGAAGAGGTCTGTCAAACTTATTCCAGTCATTTTTAATGCAACAGCTACTAATGTGTGTTGCAGTTTAAAATACAATCACAAATGACCAAACCAGCTGGATGCCCAAACCCAGAAGTATTTTGTGCAAACTGAGACTTGTGGTCTTCCTATCTAATCCATATAGTAGAGAATCTGGTATTAAAGACCCCAGTCTTCCTTTCCCTTCTCATTTCCTGGATTGTTTACACTGAGTAAAATTCCTGGGTTTTTTTTTTGCCAGTCCTAGTGCTTGAATTCTGGGTCTGGGCACAGTCCCTGAACTCCTTTTACTCAAGGCTAGCATTCTACCACTTGAGTACAGGGCCAACTTATGGCTTTTTCTGTGATTAACTAGAGATAAGAGTCTCATGGACTTTTCCTGCCTGGGCTGGCTTTGAACTATGATCCTCAGATCTCAGCCTCCTAAGTAGCTAGGATTACAGGTATGTGCACTGGCACCTAGCTAAAGTTCCTATTCTTCATTAAATTCTTGTTTCTGGTTCACGTGCTTGAACTGCTCTTGTTACTAGTCTCAGCATATCTAGTCTTTCTCTGACTTCCCAGTGTAAATGGCATTTTTTTTCTTTTTTGAGTTCAAATCTTGCCATGTAGCTCAAGGCTGACCTTGAACTCATCATCTTCCTGCCTCTGATTCCTAACTGTAGGGGTTATAGATGTGCACCACAACCAATGGTTTTTGTAGCACTTTTTTCTAAGTCATGGTGTATTAGACTCTTAAGTATTACTTTTTTATGAATCCTTCTAATTTTTCTAGGTGGGAATTTTTTTTTTCTTCTGGACATCTACAATTTTTATTTCCTTTTGTGTGTGTATAATTATATATACAATTGTGTATATATTATTAACATTTAACATATAACATTAACATTTTTTAAAACATTTGTATATATTTGTTGTAGAATTTATAAAACACAATAATGTAATTATAACATATATAGCATATAATTGTAACATTTATATATAATATAAAAATATTTTTGGTGGATTATTTTTTTTTATTTTTATTTTTTTTGGTCGGTCGTGGGGCTTGAACTCTGGGCCTGGGCGCTGTCCCTCAGCTCTTCAGCTCAAGGTGAGCGCTCTGCCACTTGAGCTACAGCGCCACTTCCGGTTTTCTGGTGGTTTATTGGAGATAGGAGTCTCACGGTCTTTCCTGCCTGGGCTGGCTTTGAACCGCGATCCTCAGATCTCAGCCTCCTGAGTAGCTAGGATTACAGGCGTGAGCCACCATCGCCCGGCTGGTGGATTATTTTTTATATGCCAGATACACTGAATGAATCAAAGCACTCAGAAGATGAGGGTTTAAACAAGTTATGACAGATACAGGTATTTATTTGAACAATCACCTTTGGATAGTTGAGCTCATGCATCTATCATTTATTCATTCAGCAAACATTTATTAAAGTTTCTATGTCAGAGACTGCTTGGTGCATTGGATATAGTGGTGAGTATGATAGACATGGTTCTTGCTGTTGCAGAGATTACATAATTATGTTTCTTACATTTTTGCCAAGAAATAATTTTATGTCATAGAACTATAGAAAATATTAAACTCATCTACATTTTATACAATAAGAAAAACAGTCTTCATTTTGAGATTTATGTGTATAAAATGAGAAAACAGTGCTGCCTAATACCTTGGTTTTATTTAATACATAAAGGTAGCAATCCAAGAAAGTTAATATACGTGAAATTGGATGGCTTTTTAATGTATGTGTTTTCTTCACAGTTGTATTGTGACTTGTGGAAGTGACGGTGATGTGAGGATTTGGGAAGACTTAGATGATGACGATCCTAAATCCATCAATGTTGGAGAAAAGGCATACTCATGTGCTTTGAAGGTAGTAAAAACAATTTCATCCATTGATGTGGGAGGATGTGATTTTTATGCTTGAGAGAAAATACTTTCATGGAAAGTTTGAATATAGATGTGCTCTTTTGCTTTGTTTCCCTTATGAAATAATATTAAAGATATATAACAATACTATAAATTGCAAAAAACAAACCCTTTAAGATAAAATAGTGATAAAAAGTGTTGAGGGGGCTGGGAAGGTAGCTCAGTGGTAGAGCGCTTGCCTTGCATGCCAGAGGCCCTGGGTTCGATTCCTCAGCACTACATAAGCAAAAAAAAAAAAAAAAAAAGCCGGAAGTGGCGCTGTGGCTCAAGTGGTAGAGTGCTAGCCTTGAGCTGAAGAGCTGAGAGACAGCGCCTAGGCCCAGAGTTCAGGCCCCACGACCAGACCCCCCCCCCCCCAAAAAAAAAAAAAAAGTGTTGAGCCAACTAGCATATACACAAGAGTCCTAGGGTGGTGACTGAGCCTATAATCCTAGCTACTGAAAAGTAGAGGTGAGGCAGGTTATGGTTTGAGGCCAGCTTAAGCAAAAAGTTAGTTTGAAACCTCATCTTAACAAATATATCTAGGTGTAGTGATACACTCCTGTCAGGAGTGTATTTATACATAAATAGGAAGACCACAGTCCAGGATTTCTTAAGCAAAAATGCAAGCCCTTACTCCCAAAACTACTTAAGTAAAAATGGGCTGGGTACATGTTTAGTAAGTATGAACCCTGAATTTAAGCTCTGGTAGTGCCCAATCAATCAATGAATGAAATAAATATGCACAGAAGAAAATGACATATGTATATATATATATATATTTATAAGTATTGAAAACACTAATGAAAAGTTCCTGTAATTTAAATAATTCTTTAGGTTATTTGGATAATGAGTATCTTAATCCATTTTGTGCTACTGTAACAATACTATAGACTTGATAAATTATTATTTATTATTTATTTATTTATTTTTTGTTGGTCGTGGGGCTTGAACTTTGGGCCTGGGTGCTGTCCCTGAGCTCTTCAGCTCAAGGTGAGTGCTCTACCACTTGAGCTACCACACTACTTCTGGTTTTCTGGTGGTTAAGTGGAGATAAGAGTCCCTCATGGTCGGGGGGCTGGGAAGGTGGCTCAGTGGTAGAGCACTTGCCTTGCATGCCTGAGGCCCTGGGTTCAATTCCTCAGCACCACATAAGCAAAAAAAAAAAAAAGCCAGAAGTGGTACTGTGGCTCAAGTGGTAGAGTGCTAGCCTGAGCTGAAGAGCTGAGGGACAGCGCCCAGGCGCAGAGTTCAGGCCCCACAACCGGACCCAAAAAAAAAAAAAAGAGTCTCATGGTCGGGCTGGGAAGGTGGCTCAGTGGTAAAGCGCTTGCCTTGCATGCATGAGGCCCTGGGTTCGATTCCTTAGCACCACATAAGCAAAAAGAAAAAAGCTGGAAGTTGTGCTTTGTCTCAAGTGGTAGAGTGCTAGCCTTGAGCTGAAGAGCTGAAGGACAGCACCCAAGCCTAGAGTTCAGGCCCCACAACTGGACCCAAAAAAAAAAAAAAAGAGTCTCATGGACTTTCCTGCCCAGGTTGGCTTTGAATGGAGATCCTTAGATCTCAGCCTCCCAAGTAGCCAGGATTACAGTTGTGAGCCACTGGCACCTGGCTAGACTTGAAAAATTATAATGAGCAGAAATTTTCTTGTTCACAATTTCATGATTTTGGAGATTCTTAAGCTTGAAATCAAGGGACTGGCATCTGATGAAGAGTATGGGAAGTAGGGCAGGTGTGTGTGTGTGTGTGTGTGTGTGTGTGTGTGTGTGTTGAACTTGAGCCCTCATGCTCTTCTTGTTCACAGATGATTCTCTACCACTTGAATCACAACTCTAGTCTAACTTTTTGTTGGATAATAGGAGTCTAATGGACTTCTCTGCCCATTCTCTGCTTGCTTCAAAGTGTGATCCTCAGATCTTAATTCCTGAGTAGCTAGTATTGTAGAAGGGAGCCAGGGATGCCTGGCTTGATGAGGACATGACTGCATACTTCCATGGTTGGAAGGGCAAAGAGAAAGCAAGAAAATAAGAAGACCCAACTCATTGATTCTAATGAACTCACATACTTCCAGATTATGGCAGCAGATTTCTCATGGCTTCATCATCTCTTATTAGTCTCCCCTCCCCACACTATATAGTGTTGGCAATTAAGTTTCCAACAGACTTTTGGGGGACACATTTAAACCAAAGCAGTGAGCTAAAAACCACTGAGTTTGCTGGGAAGGTGGGTCAGTGGTAGAGCGCTTGCCTTGTATGCATGAGGTCCTGGGTTCGATTCCTCAGCACCACATAAGCAAAAAGAAAAAAGCCGGAAGTGGCGCTGTAGGTCAAGTGGTAGAGCGCTAGCCTTGAGCTGAAGAGCTGAGAGACAGCGCCCAGACCCAGAGTTCAGGCCCCATGACAGGACCCAAAAACGAAAACAAAAACAAACAAAAAAACCAAAACCACTGAGTTTTCCCCTCAAAAGGAAAAGGGAGAACATTTGAATTTTGCTTAAAAGTATAATTCCCTCCTTTCCCTTATCCTCTTAAAAGTAGTTCCACAGTTAGAATTATGTCCTCTTTGTGTGTGTGTGTGTGTGTGTGTGTGTGTGTGTGTGTGTGTGTGTGTGTGTGTGTGTGTTTCACACATGAGGGATATTTGGCTTTTTAAGCTTGGGTTGTCTCTGTCACTATGATGTTTTCCAGTTCCAACCATTTTTCTGCAACTGACATTTAATTTTTCTTTATGGCTAGGTAATATTCTAGGAACATAGGTACCATATCTTTATCCAGTTATTATTTAGCAACTTGGCTGATTCCACTAGTTGTTGTGAACAGTGCTTCAATAAACATGGGTGTGTAGGCTCTCTGGAGACAGTAACTCACTGTTGAGCTCTGAAACAAGTGGATCCAAAGAATGCCTTTCTTCACCAAGGCTGTTGTTTCATACTAGTGGTCATTCTCTCACAAAACCCTTTAAGGTTAAGGTGTGAGAGTTGTGTGGGCTTTCCCCCCAGAGGCAGAGTTGGTACTCTGTCCACAGAAGAATCTGTTTTATCTGTATTGCAGTCTTTTTCCCCTTGTCCAATCAGCTGGAGGTGTGGGGGTGCCAGGGAATCCCAGAAGCTCCTCACTGCTTTTCTTCTGCTAATACAGTCTTTCTGTAATTTTCTGCCCCCTTGCTACCTCCCTTTTAGTTTTTATTCTTCATTTCTCACTTCAGAATCTAGACTGTTCTGTGACCCAAGATTCTTCTCAGAGTAAGAATGGCATGTTTCTAATCCACCATTTTGCATCCCAAGAAACTTTTTATGAGCGAGCAAAGTGAGCTGGGTGTGGTCGCTCATGTATGTAATCCCTGATATTTTCTGTAATCTTAGCTATGCAGGATGTGGAAATGGAAGAGTTGGGGTTCAAGACCGTGCCAGGCAAAAGTCATTGAGATCTCCTCTCAGTCAACCAGCCGGTGGTGATGATGTGTACCTGTGATCTCAGCTATGTGAGAGGATGGATTGGCTCCTGTGCTCTGAGGGAGAATCCGTTTTATGCTGTCTCCTAGGTTCTGGTTCTTTCACAGTTCCAGCATTCCTCAGCTTTTAGATGTATCACTTAAATCTCTGACATAGGTTCTTTTTTGGGGGGGAGGGGGTTTGGTCGTGGGGCTTGAACTCTGGGCCTGGGCCCTGCCCCTCAGCTCTTCAGCTCAAGGCTAGTGCTCTACCACTTGAGCCACAGCCCCACTTCCAGTTTTCTGGTGGTTTATTGGAGATAAGAGTCTCATGGACTTTCCTGCTTGAGCTGGCTTTGAACCCCGATCATCAGATCTCAGCCACCAGCACCTGGCATGTTTTTGTTTTTGTTTTTTTTTTTTTTCCGGTCATGGGGCCTGAACTCTGGGCCTGGGCACTGTCCCTCAGCTCTTTAGCTCAAGGCTAGTGCCCTAACACTTGAGCCACAGCACCACTTCCGGCTTTTCTCTGCTTATGTGGTGCTAAAGGGATCAAACCCAGAGCCTCATGCATGCGAGGCAAGTACTCTTACCACTGAACCAACTTCCCAGCCTGGCTTTTTATTTCTTATAGGAGTTTTCGGTATATAGGCACTGGGATGCTGCCAACCATATTGGGTTTGTTATGCCAGTGTTTCTTACTTTTATTTTCTTTTAGAATGGAAAGTTGGTCACTGCAGTTTCCAACAACACTGTTCAAGTCCACACATTTCCTGAAGGAGTTCCAGATGGCATATTGACTCGCTTCACTACAAATGCAAACCATGTGATCTTTAATGGAGATGGTACTAAAATTGCTGCTGGATCAAGGTAAGGCTCTGACAGAAGAAAAATATTAGAAGGCAAAGCCTCATTCGTTTATTTCAGGATAATATTTTAGGATTATGAGCAATGAATTTGTATTTGTTCTTATTAAATCTTTAGTATAAAGGTTTTTGGAGGGGACAAGAGAGTGTAGTACCAGGGTTTAAACTGAGAGCTTTATGCTTGCTAGGCAGGTGGGTTTTTTTTTGTTGTTGGTTGTAGGGCTTGAACTCAGGGTCTAGGTGCTGTCCCTGAGCTCTTTTGTTCAAGGCTAGTGCTCTACCACTTAGAGCTACAGCCCACTTCTGGTTTTTGAGTAATTAAGTGAAGATTAGAGTCTCATGGGGACTTTTCTGCCTGAGCTGGCTTTGAACTGTGATCCTCAGATCCTAGCCTCCTTCCTGAGTAACCACACCTGCCTGCACATCCAGATTTCTTTGTAGTAAATTCCTATGGATAAAATTTTTTTCTCTTTAAAAATTTTTTTTCTTATTATTATAAAGGTGACATACAGAGGGGATTACGGTTTCATAAGTCAGGTAATGAGTACATTTCTTTCCTTTTTTTTTTGCCAGTTCTACAGCTTGAACTCAGGGCTTGGACACTGTCCCTGAGCTTCTTACAGTGCCACTCTCAGCCTTTTCTGTTTATGTGATATTGAAGAACTAAACCCAGGGCTTCATGCCTGTTAGGCAAGCACTCTTCCACTAAACCACATTCCCAGCCCATGAAATACTTTTTTTTCTGGACAGTGTCATCCCTTCCCTCATTGTCTCCCAGTTTTCCTCTCTCATCCCTACCCACGTTATACAGTTCATTTTCAACCTAGTTTTTTACTGAGTACCACTGCTGCCTTTGTTCACCCTATATTCTTCCCATTTTTGTGTCCTTCTTGCCCTCTCAGAGACAGAAAAACAAACAAAAGAGGACAAGAAAAGAAAAAGAAAAAAAGTCTTTGTTTCCATTTCCTGGAGTTCATTTTGATAACTATAATTTTATATGATCATAGGCACAGTGGTATTACGCCTTTGTGTTCCTCACCTAAAGTGTGTTCCATTGGTTTCACTGTGTGTGAATGGCTAGAGTTTTATCATGTCCTAGCTTCCACATGTGAGAGAACGCCTGTGCCAGTTGTCTCTCTGAATTTGGCTTACCTCACTTAAGGTGGATGAAATTTAATAAAAATTTTTATGTCAAACTTGTGATTGTTTTATCAATTAAGAAAATATATTGCTTTAGCTGGGCGCTGGTGGCTCACGCCTGTAATCCTAGCTACTCAGGAGGCTGAGATCTGAGGATCACGGTTCAAAGCCAGCCCGGGCAGGAGAGACCATGAGACTCCTATCTCCAATAAACCACCAGAAAACCGGAAGTGGCGCTGTAGCTCAAGTGGTAGAGAGCTCGCCTTGAGCTGAAGAGCTGAGGGACAGCGCCCAGGCCCAGAGTTCAAGCCCCACGACCGACAAAAAAAAAAAGAAAAAAAAAAAAGAAAATATATTGCTTTGCAGACAATTTACTCAAAGACTGTTAAAAGAGATCAGGAAATAGTGATAGCTTGATACAAATTAAAAAATTTTTTGATGTAACCTGGATTGTACAATCTGAATTTTTTTGGGTGGGGGTGGGGCTGGTCATGGGGCCTGAACTCTGGGCCTGGGCACTGTCCCTCAGCTCTTCAGCTCAAGGCTAGCGCTCTACCACTTGAGCCACAGAGCCACTTTCAGCTTTTTTCTTTTTGCTTATGTGGTGCTGAGGAATTGAACCCAGGGCCTCAGGCATGCAAAGCAAGCGCTCTACCACTGAACCACCTTTCCAGCCCCATACAATCTGAATTTTTGCAGGTTCCCTTGATGCTTAATTTTCATAGGATAAATGTAATTGGTTGACTTGTTGAGGTAGAATGAAACACAAAGTATTTTTCAAATGTGACTGTAATTAGATTACCAAATAATAAGAGCTTTAAGATGTAACTGTAGAAGCTGTTCAGGAGATTTATATTTTAACAGTGTAAGAAATTTTGACTTGTGTTTTCAGTATCTTTATAAAGACTGAAAGGCTGATCATTAAATTTGAGTGCCAAATTTTGCAAGTTACTATTAAGATATAACATTCATTCTTGTGATTTTGAAATGATAACAGAGGCTTTTGTATTAGCATATATTTATGTGCATTGCTTTTACTGTTCATAGTGATTTTCTTGTCAAAATTGTGGATGTGGTGGATTGTAGCCAACAGAAAACATTTCGAGGACATGATGCCCCTGTTTTAAGTCTTTCTTTTGATCCTAAGGACATCTTTCTGGTAATATCCTCTCACCCACCCTTTTTGTGTATTTCCTGAATGTGTATAAAGTTATTTTCATCCCGTTGTGAAAGGTTATTTGATTGAATCAATTGAACCAATTTCTATGTTGTTTTATGGCTGTAATTTTAGGGAATGTGTTTTTTATTCCTTCAGGCATCAGCTAGCTGTGATGGATCTGTCAGAGTGTGGCACATCCCCGATCAGGTAAATTCATCAATTTAAATTTAAAACTGTTTTTGTCAATTTCTGTGTTATAGTGGCTGTCACATATTTTATTATTGGCCCAAAATACTTACTTTTTTTTTTTTTTTTTTTTTTGGGTCCGGTCATGGGGCCTGAACTCTGGGCCTGGGCGCTGTCCCTCAGCTCTTCAGCTCAAGGCTAGTGCTCTACCACTTGAGCCACAGCGCCTCTTCCGGCTTTTTTCTTTTTGCTTATGTGGTGCTGGAGTCGAACCCAGGGCCTCATGCATTCAAGGCAAGCACTCTACCACTGAGCCACCTTCCCAGCCCCCAAAATACTTACTTTTTTTGTAGCATGTTTCAGGTAGTTTTAGTATTGTTTTTCTGATTAAATTGTAAAATTGTAGAACAATGTGAAAGACTGATTGCTTTTATGCCTAATCACAAAGGGAATGATTTATTTATATTTTCTATATATGTTAACAATTAACTACCATATGTTGGGTTTTGTATTGGAGGTTAGTGGTACAAACACAAGGCATAGACTATACTTAGAGAATTACATATGCATCTGACAGTAGGTTTTAAAGGATATGTGAAGAAAATGCTCTCTGGATTGATAAAGGGAACAGTTAGGTCTTCGTGAGGCAATTAGACCATATTTGGAATTTTTGAAGTAATGTGGCTGTTGGAAAGAATTTCTGCACAGATATGCTTTAGTAGCCACAGTTCATTCCCTCATTCTTTTTTTTTTTTTTTTTAATCTTTTTTTTTTTTTTTTGCTTATGTGGTGCTGAGGAATCGAACCTAGGGCCTCCGACATGCAAGGCAAGCGCTCTACCACTGAGCCAACTTCCTAGCCCATTCCCTCATTCTTAAAATATTTAGTTCTGACTTTAACCCCTTAACGTTTTATAGTAAACATTTCAAGTTTTTGTAGACATATTAAAATTTTAATATACTGAGGGATTTTTTTTCTGCTTACATATTTACTCAGTGAGTATATGGTATATTGTTTGACTATTCTGCATAGAAAATACTCTTATTTGAGACGTAATACTCTTATTTAAGACATGTATATGCAAATATGTTTAAGACTTGTATATCTGAAGAACTTGGAACAATTTAGGTTAAAAAAGTTCTGTAATCAAAGTAATAAATTGCTTTTTCTGAGATATATGTCAGTTTGAAGAAACTGCCTATTAAATGAATTGTTTGGGGGGAGGTATCATAAAAGGAAATAAATTTTCTTTTCTAAAAATTCAGACATGTGCTATTAGTTGGCCACTACTACAAAAATGCAACGATGTGGTAAATGCAAAATCCATCTGCAGACTTGCTTGGCAGCCAAAAAGTGGAAAGGTAAATAGCTTTTATTTTTGAACCTTTAAATTATCTCTTACAGTTCTTGTAAACTTTCAGTGTAAGAATAGTATTTTTAATTATAATTTTCATTTGAATTATAAATTTTAGAACCCTATGACAAATAATTAATATTGAATATATATGTATAATTTTTTTGGTCAGTCATGGGGCTTGAACTCACTGCTTGAGCACTTTCCTTGAGCCTCTTTGTGGTCAAGGCTAGTGCTCTACTACTTCATCCACAGCTCCACTTCCAAAATATTTCGATTTTTTTTTTTTTTTTGGGTCCAGTCATGGGGCCTGAACTCTGTGCCTGGGCACTGTCCCTCAGCTCTTCAGCTCAAGGCTAGTGCTCTACCACTTGAGCCACAGTGCCACTTCCGTCTTTTTTCTTTTTGCTTATGTGGTGCTGAGGAATCGAACCCAGGGCCTCAGGCATGCAAGTCAAGCGCTCTACCACTGAGCCACCTTCCCAGCCCCGGAAAATATTTCGATTTTTAAAAGATTGCTTTAACTACTTCAGAAGCTAAAATCAGGAGGACTGAGGTTTAAGACCAACCTGAGTGGGCTGGGAAGGTGGCTCAGTGGTAGAGCACTTGCCTTGCATGCATGAGGCCCTGGGTTCGATTCCTCAGCACCACATAAGCAAAAAAAAAAAAGCCAGAAGTGCCGTTGTGGCTCAAGTGGTAGAGTGCTAGCCTTGAGCTGAAGAGCTAAGGGATAGCGCCCAGGCCCAGAGTTCAGGCCCCATGACCGGACCCCCCCCCAAAAAAAAAATAGATAAAAAATCCAACAATATTGGGGCTGGGAAGGTGGCTCAGTGGTAGAGCGCTTGCCTTGCATGCCTGAGGCCCTGAGTTTGATTCCTCAGCACCACATAAGCAAAAAGAAAAAAGCCGGAAGTGGCGCTGTGGCTCAAGTGGTAGAGCGCTAGCCTTGAGCTGAAGAGCTGAGGGACAGTGCCCAGGCCCGGAGTTCAGGCCCCATGACCGGACCCAAAAAAAAAACAACAAAAAGACCAACCTGAGCAAAAAGTTCTCAAAATCCCATCTCAACCAATAAAAGCTGGGTGTGGTAGCTGTGTCTGTCATTCCAGCTAAGTGAACAACAGAAGAATCCTGTGAACATATTCATACATCTGCACTGCAGAGTACATAGAACAAAAATATTGCACCATGTGGAAGATTTGGAACATCTTACTTGTTCATGTATAGAAAACTGGATAAATTAATTGTGGGTAGTCCTGAAAGTGAAATTGTCTCTAATTGTTAGAATGAAGATCTTTTATCTCCTTCTAGGGAATGATCTTTTAGATGCACTGTTATGTAAAAAGATTAAGCTATAGCAGGGCAGGTATCGGTAGGATGTTAATGCTTATTAATAAAGAGTGAAAGATTGCCAGGTGCTAGTGGCTCACACCTGTAATCCTAGCCATTCAGGAGGCCAGCCTGGGCAGTAAAGTCTGTTGACTTCTCTCCAATTAACCATCAGAAAACTGGAATTGGAGCTCAGAGTGGCAGAGTGCTAGTTTTCAGGGGGAAAAAATGGCTTAAGGACAGTGCCTAGGCCCTAAATTCAAGCCCCACAACTGACAAAAAAAAAAAAAGTAATAATAAATAAAATAGAGTTAAAGATGTCTAAGAAGTTACTTTTCCATAAATAGTTAAGTATATGTAACATGCATTCCTATATACTCTGTTTATATTTGCCATTGGATAGAAGTAGGATTTAGGGATGGAAGATTTTTTTCAGAATATATGCTTTGTGTTATGTCACTTTTTTTTTATTATTATTATTTGGTTGTGGGGCTTGAACTGAGGCCTGGTCACTTTTCTGCTCAAGGCGAGCACTCTACCACTTTGAGCCACAGCTCCACTTCCGGGTTTTTGGTGGTTAATTGGAGATAAGAGTCTCATGGACTTTTCTGCACAAGCTGGCTTTGAACCTGGAGCCTCAGATCTCAGCCTCCTGCTTAGCTAGGATTATGGGTGTGAGCCACCAGCGCCGAGGTCATGTCAACTTTGAAGAGTGTACATTGTGTATGAAAGTAATCATTGAGCTCAAAGAGAATCCAGTGTACTTTGGTACTTTTCTCTGCTGGTAATCTAATTGGAAGTAAAGCTAATATTAATAATTTTTATAAGCATGGAAAAAGTACTTTGTTTTGTTTTGGTGCTGGGCCTCATGAATGCCAAATGTTCACTCTGCCACTGAGCTACATCCCCAGTTCCTACAGTATTTATTTATTTATTTATTGCTAATCTGGAATTTGGAGGAATTATGTAAGAAGTTAATTTTTTCTCTTTTTTTGATTCCAGTACTAGGGCTTGAGCTTAGTGCCTCATACTCTCACTTGGCATTTTCTCTCAAGGCTGGCTCTCTTCTACTTAAACCATACCTCCACTTTGGGCTTTTTGCTGGTTAATTGGAGATAAATCTCATAACCTATTCACTGGGCTGGCTTTGAACTGAAATCCTCAGGTCTCAGCCTCTTGAGTAGCTAGAATTACTGACGTGAGCTACCAGCATCCAGCTTAGAATTTTTATTTTTATTTTTTGTTTATGAGGCTTGAACTCTGGGTCTGGGTGCTGTCCTTCAGCTCTTCAGCTCAAGGCTAGCGCTCTACCACTTGAGCCACAGTGCCACTTCCAGTTTTCTGAAGGATTTATTGGATTTAAGAGTCTCACGGACTTTCTTGCCCAGGCTAGCTTTGAACAGCAGTCCTCAGATCTCAGCCTCCTAAGTAGTGTGAGCAGCGCCCGGCTGAGCTTAGAATTTTTTAACTTTGTTATTGTTGTTGTTGTTCCAGTACTTGGGTTTTAATTTAGGGCCTCATGGTCGTGTTTGGCCTTTTCATGTAAGGCTGGTGCTCTACTCATAAGGCACAACTCCACTCTATAAATTTCTCTTTTCTTTGTATTTTTGATATTCAAAGGATTCAGATTTCCTTTTAGGAAAATGAGCTGAATATTGAGATGCAGAACCTAGATTCCCTTAGAAATAGCATTAAAAATACTATTAAGCCAAGCGCTGGTGGCTGACACTGTCATCCTAGCGACTCAGGAGGCTGAGATCTGAGGATTGAGGTTCGACGCCAGTCTGGGCTATGAGAATTTATCATCAATTAACCACAAACGCCAGAATTAGTGTTGTGGTTCAAGATGTAGAGTGCTGCCTTGAATACAAAAGCCAAGGACAGGGCACAGGCCCAGAGTTCAAGTCCCAGGGCTGGCAAAAATAATAATGCAGCTAAGTATTGTCTGTTTTTTATTCCCAAATAGTAAAATGATCATCCATGGGTTTTTTTTTTTTTTGAAGTCTTCAACTTTTTTTAATTCAATTTTATTGTAAAGTTACCTGAGTGAGGTAATGAGTACATTTCTTTTCATACATTGTCACCCCCTCCTTTGTTTTTTTCTTACTTTCCCTTCCCTCTCCCACTTCCCCTGTTCTCCCCCCATCACCCATGTTTTTTATTTCAGTATTTTAAATAATTTTTTGTTTTGTTAGATTCAATTAAAATTAAAATTTCCTTATATATTTTTTTGTCAGTTGCGGGGCTTGAACTATGGGCCTGGGCACTGTGCCTGAGCTTTGCAGCTCAAGGCGAGAGCTCTACCACTTGAGTCACAGCGCCACTTCCAGTTTTCTGGTGGTTAATTGAAGATAAGAGTCTCACGGACTTTCTTACCCAGGCTGTCTTTGAACTGTGATCCTCAGATCTCACCCTCTTGAGTGGCTAGGATTACAGGTGTCAGTCACTGGCACCTAGCTTCCTTATATATTTTATAAATGTATGTATGTTTTATAAATTTATCCTCTTCAAATTGAACTTATATAAACTTTTGTTTAAATTTTGTATTTTCTAATAGTTACTCGCAATTCCTGTGGAAAAATCTGTAAAATTATATAGAAGAGAAACATGGAGTAATCAATTCGATCTTTCAGATAGTTTCATCTCTCAGGTAGGTTTTGTGACACTTTCAGGAGACCATAGGAATACTTAATGGCTACTCCACCAAATACTGTTGCAGTGGGAAGTGGAGAAAAGTTTCCCACTATTTGCGCATATGCGCACGTGTGTGTGTGTGTGTGTGTGTGTGCGTGTGCGTGTGCGTGTGTGTGTGTGTGTGTGTGTGTGTTTTAAGAAAAAAGACTAGCCTTCTCCATGGTGAATTGCTAACTCTTCTTTTTTTTTGGCTAGTCCTGAGGCTTGACCTCGGCCTGGAAACTGTCCCTGAGCTTCTTTTGCTCAAGGCTAGCACTCTGACACTTGAGCCATAGCACCACTTCTGGCCTTTTCTGTTTATGTGGTACTGCGGAATTGAACCCAGGGCTTCATGCATGCTAGGCAAGCACTGTACCACTAGGCCACATTCCCAGCATTTGCTAACTCTTACATGACCTTTCTCTTATATGCTTTGATAAGGAAAAAAGTACTTTTGAAGTCTAAAATCAAATTTAACCCTAGCTTAATAATTAGAGCAATTAATTTTTGTTTTTATTGTAAAGTAAGTGGAATTTTAGAGCAAGAAAGGTTAGTACGTTCTTCTTGCTTATTCTCTAGTCTCTGTCATTTTCATATCTTAAATTTTAGAGCAAGGAAAGTTATTGTAGTTCTCTCTTTTAGACACATGCATGTGTGTACACACACCCATACCCACATGATTTTTTTTTTTTTTTTTGGATCAGTCATGGGTTCTAAACTTTAGGCCTGGGCATTGTCTCTCAGCTCTTCAGCTCAAAGCTAGTGCTCTACCATTTGAGCCGCAGTGCCACTTCTGGCTTTTTCTGCTTATGTGGTGCTGAAGAATGGAACCCAGGTCCTCATGCATGCAAGGCAAGCACTCTACCACTGAGCCACCTTCCCAACCCTCCCTCCCCCACATGATATTTTAAATATAAATTTTATTTTCAAAATGATATACAGAAGGGTTACAGTTCTATAAGTAAGGTAGAGAGTACATTTATTACCTCCTCCCTCATTTTTTCCCTACCCACATATTTTATAATTAAGGAATCAAAGACTCAATAGGTGAATACTGACTTAAGAAGGGTCACGTACTTCACTTATTGGTTGTCTTCATCTTGATGGTGAATGAATGTTAAGAGGGTACCTTGTACTGTCTATTTCCAAGATGATTTATTTTTAGATTTTACTTTTTTCTTTTACTCTTTTTTTTTTTTTTGTGGGGCTTGAACTCAGGGCCTGGCATTGTCCCTGAACTTTTTTACTCAAGGCTGGCATTCTACTATTTTGGTTACAGTGCCACTTCCAAGATTTTACTTTTAAAATTTGACACTGATATAATTTTCTTGTGGCAATTTTCTCTTTTCTTGAAAAAGTAAAAATAAAAAACAAGTCTTTGTCTTATCTTTTGTATATCAAATATATTTATAAATAATAGAGAATAGGAATTTTAAAAATTGGGGATAGTGGATATTAGTTTAAAATAAGATGTTATTTATTGTTTTTCATTACAGAGCCTCAATGTAGTAACCTGGTCTCCCTGTGGTCAGTACTTAGCTGCAGGTAGCATTAATGGTTTAATTATAGTTTGGAATGTGGAAACCAAAGTGTGCATGGAAAGGTATGATTCCTGTTCTTTTTTGCTCATTTCTATTATGTTTTTGTATTACTATGAACTATTTTAAAATTGACATGTACAGTTTCCAGATTTTCAAAAGCCTTTTCTAACCACAAATTATCTAAAGAACCTCACAGTTTATATTTTTCTTAACAGTATTTTAAAGAGCTTGCTCTTTATAATTTTTAGGGTGAAACATGAGAAAGGTTATACAATTTGTGGCCTGGCCTGGCATCCTACTTGTGATCAGATATCTTACACTGATGCTGAGGGAAATCTTGGGCTCCTGGAAAATGTCTGTGACTCCAGTGGAAAGACTTCAAGAAGTAAGGTAATGTAGATTAAGGTAGAGCATTTTCTCCCAGCTGTTTCTACATTTGAATGTATTCGAAGACAACAAATTACTCTATGCTCTTGTGAAATTATAATTCATATTTCTGTTCTTTGATGCTCAACAGTTATTTATAGTTATAGACTTTTTAAAAATTTGTTTTGATTTCAGTAGTACTGTGGTTTGAACTGAGAGCCTTGTGCTTTCTACGCACATGCTCTACTACAAGAGCCATACCCTCAGCCCTAGCAATTATCTATAATAAAGAAAACTTTCAGCTGGGTGCCAGTAGCTCATGCCTATAAACCTAGTTACTCAGGAGGCTGTGATTTGAGGATTGAGGTTTGAAGCCAGCTTGGGCAGAAAGCTCGTGAGACTCTTATATCAAATAAACCACTCAAAAAAGCTGGATAGAGGCTGGGAGGGTGGCTTAGTGGTAGAGTGCTTGCCTTGCATGCATGAGGCCCAGGGTTTGATTCCTCAGCACCACATAAGCAAAAAAAGCCAGAAGTGGCGCTGTGTGTAGCACTGTGATAGAGTGCTAGCCTTGAGCTGATGAGCTGAGGAACAGCATCCAGGCCCAGAGTTCAGGCCCCACAGCTGACCAAAAAAAAAAAAAAGCTGGACATGGTGCTGTGGCTCAAGGGTAGAGTGCTCACCTTGAGCAAAAGAAGCTCAGGGACAGCTCCCAGGCCCAGAGTTCAAGTCCCAGGACTGGCAAAAAAGAAAACTTTCTTTTACCTTTTTTTTCCTTTTTGTGGCACTGGGGATTGAACACTAGGCCTCATGGTTCCTAGGAAAGTATTCTTCCACTTGAGTCACAACTCAGTCCTCAACTTTTTAATCTTTTTACCAATTGGCATGATCTCTATTCTTCCTGAAAGCCCTATTAATATTACCCTAAGGGGGGGGATTAAATGATTAATTACATAAGGGTAGAGAAAATAAAATAATGTCAGTAATAAAATTCTAGAGCCAGGCGCCAGTGGCTCATGCCTGTAATCCTAGCTACTAATGAGGCTGAGATCTGAAGATTACGGTTCAAAGCCAGCCCTGGAAGGAAAGTCTGTGAAACTATTATCTCCAGTAAACTACCAGAAAAACGGATATGGCCTTGTGGCTCAAGTGGTAGAGCGCTAGTCTTGAGCTTAAGAGCTGAGGGACAATGCCCAGGTCCAGAGTTCAAGCCCCATGACTGAAAGAAAAAAAAATCTTAGAAAGTTGAAAATAGAAGAATGATTGGAAATGAGCTTTTCAAAGAATTGGATCCTATGATTGTAATGGAGGAAGCTAAAGTATAGCTCAGTTTGCCTGCCTAAATTCCCAAAGATTCAGAATTTGATAGCATTAAGCACTGCTGAAAGTGGGGCTGACAGTAGTAAAGTTGACTTAAGAAGCAAATAGATTGCTCCATTATCAATATCTGCCATGTCTAGTGCTGCAAGGTAAACAGGTACCTAGAAGAGGCATAGAGTGGAATGAGAAAGAAAGGCACAAAGACAATCTCGCTAGTGGGTACTCCATCTCTCAGGACAAAGGGCCTTAGTTCATCTCCCAGGCAGCTTTTATTATCCAGTATGATTTAGTAGGAAAAGCAGTAAACTTTGTACATAACTAGTAATGAGTAAATAGGGTTTTTTTCCTAACACAAAGTGGAAATCATTTTGGTAGAAAAGTTACCCCAAACTGAACATAAGCTCTTTTGCCAGTCTTGGGGCTTGAACTCAGGGCCTAGGCACTGTCCCTGAGCTTCTTGTGCTTAAGGCTAGCACTCTACCACTTGAGCCACAGCGCCACTTCTGGCTTTTTCTGTTTATGTGGTACTGAGGAATGAAACCCAGGGCTTCCTGCATGGCAGGCAAGCAATCATTAAGCCACATTCCCAACCCTGAATATAAGCTCTTAAGCTTTAACATTCTTGAATAAACTAGTTATTTTCTTAACTTGGTAAGAAAAGGGTCTTAAGCCAATATTCTTTTTTTTTTCTCCAAATATTTCTCCAAATCTACATATGTTTCACAATAACTGTGGCATGGTTATACCTAGCTAAGGTCACAAACATATTTTAACCTTCACAACGATAATCATCATCACCTTAATCTACAAAGTTTATGAACTCTACAAACTTTACAATGAGACTATTTCTTCAAATCGAGTGATAATGTACTTTCCTTTTGCTTAGTATCAGCTGTTCCTTCTTTCTCTCTCATTCCCTCCCTCCCATCACCACCCTTGAGTTGCTTAGTTCTTTTTTGCCAGGATGCTTAGTACAGCTGATGGGCCACTTACCCCAGTCAGAATGGCCTATATTCTGAATTCAAACAATGTTTAATAAAATGAGAGAACAGAAAAAGGTACTTCTAAATTCATGTGTTTAAACATAATTTAATGGACAGATGGTAACAAAATGTTAGTTAGCCATTTTAGCCCTAAAAGTTTATGAACCCAAATTAAAAATTTTTTTGCATTTTCTTGTTGGAAAATTGGGTCTTTGCCTCATCTTCATGATGAGGGATTTAAAATGATGACAGGTATTATGACAGAAATATATACTGTGAAGAACAAAATAATATTTATTTCCATAGAAACATTTATGCTATATTCTTTATTAGTGGTCTTCTGATAAATTTATATTCCTGAATTATAAATTTATATTGTCTTAACATTTGTATAATTTCTTTCATCATGTAGGAATAATTTATAATTTCTGAAATGTATCTGCTGATTACTTTGTAAAGTGAGTGAAATACTTGTTTACAATGACATTTAACTTCTGTTTATATGTTTATGTTCCTAGAAAATAATAATGAAATTTATGTTGAATTTCTTTGCTTCCTGTTTTTCTATTGGTGCTATCACTTTGTTTCTTTAAACATAAAAATATAACAACAAAAACTCCCAACTAGCTTTAACTGGGATGGTTTAAAGTAAATGTGTGAAAAGGTAAGTGAAGCTGGGTATACAGGCACATGCCTGTAATCCCAGCACTGGAGAAGCTGAGATGGGGAGATCTCAAGTTCCAAGCCATCCTAAAAAACTATATAAGAAGATCTTGTCTCAAAGTAAACTAAAAGTAAATGGGAGAATGTCTTCTGAGAGACTTGTCTCTTGGGGCTACATAGTTCAGTGCTACAGCACTTTCCTATCAAGAGCAAAAGGTCTATCCTAGAACCACCAAAACCAAAAAAGGGATAGCTTTTTAGTTGAGTTTCACTAATAAGTGCTAAATTATATTCGTTTGTTCAAGGTATCTAGCAGAGTGGAAAAGGATTACAATGATCTTTTTGATGGAGATGATATAAGTAATCCTGGAGACTTTCTACATGACAGTGCAGTGGAGATTCCCTCTTTTTCAAAAGGGGTTCTGGATGATGATAATGATGATGACCTCACACTTGCTTCCAGTCGTTCTAGACATCGAAGTCACATCCTAGAAGATGATGAAAACTCAGTTGGTATGTATTGGACTGCGTTCATTCGCCTTGATAAATTTTTTTTTTTTGGATCAGGTCGTGGGGCCTGAACTCTGGGCCTGGGCACTGTCCCTCAGCTCTTCAGCTCAAGGCTAGCACTCTATACTTGAGCCACAGCTCCACTTCTGGCTTTTTCTGCTTATGTGGTGCTGAGGAATTATACCCAGGGCCTCAGGCATGCAAGGCAAGTGCTCTACCACTGAGCCACCTTCCCAGCCCCAATAATTTTTTTTAAGTTAAATCTGTTATTTAAAGAGATTTAAATCACAGAATATAGTCAGAGTCATGCTTATATTAAAGTTTATATCATATTCTGAATTATATTCAGTTAAAATTGAAAGTTTCAGATCAGCCATGCCAAGTGATTTCTAGTTGGGAGCATGACTTTTTTTTTATTACAAATTCCTTTATAATAGAGGAGGGATGACAGATTTTTTTTTTTTAAAGAATGTTGGGAAGAGAACAAAGCATAAGGTGTTTAGGTAATAAATTTGCATTTCTTCAAAAACTCAGGTTCCCAACACTACAGGCGAGAGTTGACGCTGTTGTTAATCACGTTTTGGGGGCTGCGGTGGTGGCTGCAGTAGAGGGCCCAAGGTGGCCTAGAAAGGCGAGTGGGACACAGAAGGCCCCTGGTAGAGAAAAAGTCTAGTATTTTTCCCACTCATGCATCAAATGTAATTGAATACTTTTGGGGGAGGCCAGTCCTGGGGCTTGTACTCAGAACCTGGCACTATCCCTGAGCCTCTTGCTCAAGTCTAGGGGACCATGACTTTTGAAGAATGAACTCTTGCATTATATTTGCAAACTAGGAAAAGAAGATAAATACCAAACAAGGAGAAGGAAGGAATAAAGCATGTGATTCAATGAAATTGACAAGAAAAAAAAGTAAAGTTATGAAACCAAAAACTAGTTCTTTGAAAAGAACAATGAAATTGCTAAGTATCTAACCTGAGTGACTAAGAAAAAGAAATGTTATTTTTCATTCACTTATTCATTCATTCATTTAGTAGCAGGGCTTGTACTCAGGGTCCCAAGTGCTCTATTTTTTCACCCATAGTTGGTGCTCTGTCACTTGAGCCACACTTCCAGTCTAGCCCTTTGGCTAGTTAATTGGAGATGGAGATGGACTTTTCTTCCTGTGCTACCTTCAAACCTCAGTCTTCAGTCTCTTGAAGTAGCAAGGCTTACCGGTGTAAACCAATAGCATCCTGTTTGTTTCTTTTGACGAGGAGAGGAAGATGGTGTTACAGTACTGGTATTTGAACTCAGAGCCTTGTGCTTGCTAGGTAGGCACTCTACCTCCTATCCAAGTAAGTTTCCCAAAATTTTGCTTGGCAGCTCACTGGCAATAAATTCTCTGTTATTTCACTCTTCCCCCCGCCCACCCCTGCCAGTCTTGGGGCTTGAACTCAGGGCCTGAGTACTGTCCCTGAGCTTCTTTTTGGTTAAGGCTAGCACTCTACCACTTGAGTCACAGCACCACTTCTGGCTTTTTCTGTTTATGTGTTATTGAGGAATCGAACCCAGGGCTTCATGCATGCTAGGCAAGCACTCTACCAGTAAGCCACCTTCCAAACTCTTACTTTTCTTAAATGATAGGTTTGCTTCATTTATTTCCAAAAAGTTAGTCATATTTTCAGATCTTTATAACCATAGTTTATTTTGTTAAAATAATGATAACAAATAATAATCAGTTTACCTTAGAACTGAAACTATTGCCGAACTTTTTTTTTTTTTTTTTTTTTGGTGCCAGTCCAGGGGCTTGAACTCAGGTCCTGGAGCTGTCCCTGAGCTTTTTAGCTCAAGGCTGGCACTCTACTACTGGAGCCACAGCTTTACTTCTGGCTGTTTTGGGCGGTTAGTTGGAGATAAGAGTCTCACAGAATTTCTTGCATAGGCTGATTTGAACCATGATCCTCAGATCTCAGCCTCCTTAGGATTATAGGGTGAGCCACTGGCACCTGGCCTAACTTAAATTTTTTTTATAGTGGTCATCATACTTTTTGTTTAACATACAAGACTTTTTAAAGAAAGAATCTGTGTAAGGATGTAGATTAAAAAAGTATTATTACTATAAGAACATGGTGGCTAACAATACAGGGACCACTAATATAGTCGTATTGGTAGTTGGTACAACTGCTTTATTGGTTCCAAGGCACTGAGTGTCACCTACCAGTGCTTTTGTACCATTGCTATCTCTTTTAGCATGTGTAATGCCATTTATTATGTATGAATGGACAGATTATTGAAGTATTCAATCCTCCTCCCCCCCAGGTTATTGGTATTCATACTTCTCTTTTAATCCTTTGTGTTGTAGATGTTACAATGCTAAAAACCGGTCTTCTCAAGGAGGAAGAGGAAGATGATCAGGCAGGCAGTAGTCACAATCTACCACTTGTAACATCCCAAAGGCCATTTTATGATGGGCCCATGCCAACTCCTCGACAAAAGCCCTTCCAGTCAGGTTCTACACCCCTACATCTTACTCACAGATTCATGGTAAGCCTTCAATGTACAATCAACTTTTAAAATAGCTTTTCAAGCTGAGTGGCGGTGGCTTACTCCTATAATCCTAGCTATTCAGGAGGCTGATTTTGGTTTGAAGCCAGCCTGGACAGGAAAGTCCATGAGACTTTTATCTCTAGTTAACCAGCAAAAAGCTGGAAGTGGAGCTGTGGCTCAGGTGGTAGGTGGTACCTTTGTATGGGAAAAAAATCTCAGGGACAGTGCCCAGGCTTTGAGTTCAAGCCGCAGGGTAGGCACACACAAAACACAAAAGTGTTGTTTGCAGTAAAGGAGGAGGGGGCAGGGAAAAGGGAGGAGGAGGAGGAGGAGGATAGCAGTGTAGGTTTTTTTTTTTGTTTTTTGTTTTTGTGGGGGTTTTTGTCAGTCGTGGAGCTTGGACTCAGGGTCTGAGCACACTGTCCCTGAGCTCTTTTGCTCAAGGCTAGCATTTTACCACTTTGAGCCACAGCTCTACTTCTGTTTTTTGGTGGTTAATTGGAGATAAGAGTCTCATGGACTTTCCTACCTGGCCTGGCTTTGATTGTCAGATGTCAGCCTCCTGAACCACTGGCACCTGGCCAGTGTAGTTTTTTTAAATGCTAAAATAAGTAGGTATATATGGTCATCTATATTAGCTGCCTTGCCTAATCAATGTACGTAAAAGTATGTACTTTCCCACGAATAAAGAATATTAGTCATTGTAAATCTTTTGTACAGTTGTAGCTCAATTGGTAATTGATGTTACTCTTGTTGCCTAAAACTATAGTTTGATGTGATAACACCCATAACTTAAACATTGGTATAGTATGAATTGTAATATTATTAATTGGTAGTATTATAGTTGCTAATTCTAAAAATTTCAGCCTTTCTTAGACTTCAATTTTATCTATTTGTAGGTATGGAATTCTATTGGAATTATTCGTTGTTATAATGATGAGCAAGACAATGCCATAGACGTAGAGTTCCATGATACCTCCATACACCATGCAACACACCTATCAAACAGTTTGAATTATACAGTAGCAGATCTTTCCCATGAAGCTATTTTGTTGGCGAGTGAAAGCACTGATGAACTAGCAAGGTAAATTCAAGATTATGAGAGAGAGTTCAGCATTGTTAAGTTGTTAATTATATTTTTAAATGAAATCCAGAAGGAATTTTTGGCACATACACCAGTACACTCATAATACCTCCGACCGTGTCTGTTTTCTCTGATTGTTTCCTCATGACATTCTTTAATTGCATACCAAAGCAATGTATGTAAATTGTAATATGAGATGTGGAATTACTTTTACATTGTTAGTGCTGTTACTACTATTATAGATTCGTTGACGATGGAATACAGATGATTAGAAAAAGAAAGTTCCTTCTAGAATCCTGTTCTCAGCTATAAGTACTGTTAACAGTCAGATGTATATCTTTGAAGCCATACTAGTATGTTATGAATCTTTTTAAAGTTTACTGTATTGCAGTATAATTTATATGCAATGAAATGCACTCATGTATAGTTTTGAGTTGACAGATGCATATATATTGAGGTATGACTACTGTAATCAAAACAGATTTTTTTTTTCCTACTGTACTGGGGTTTGAACTCAGGGTTTTATGGATGGCATTCTATGATATGAGCTATACTCCCTAACTCCTTTTTGTTACTTTTTAAAAACAGGGTTCTATAATTATGCCTAGGCCAGTCTGGATGGCAGTCTTCTAACTTATACTTCCCACTTATTGGGAAAATAGGTATATACTACATCAGCTTTTTACTGGCTAAGATGAGATCTTCTGATCTCTGTCTCCAGAATAACTGTTAGAATATACTGATGTGTGCCATCATATAATATTCTTTATATTTTAAGTAAAATCTGTTTTCTCTTATTGTTTTGTAGTTAATTCATTTCTAGCCTACTGATGATGTTTTTCCACTATAGATTATATTTGAAATCTCTTTGAAAAAGAAATTTATGTATCTTCTTTATGGCATGTACTAATTATACAAAGGAGTTTCATTGTGCTATTTCTATGTTTGTATTATGTACTTTGATCATATTCACCTTTTCTGAGAAAGTCATTTTAAAAAACATTTCCAAATATTCTATTTATCAATTGCTCTTTTTCTTGACACTTCAGATTCCTTTATATGTTTTAATAGGTAGGTAAGGAGACAGAAAAATAGATGTAGAGAGAAAAATCATGATGGCAAAGTATTAGATTTAGAATTTTTTTTGAAAAAACACTTCTCATTTTTTAATATTATAAATTTCTCTCTTTTTAAACTTATTTTATTGTGGACGCCTTGGGCTTTGACAGATCTTTTTTTTTTTGGGTCCAGTCGTGGGGCCTGAACTCTAGGCCTGGGCGCTGTCCTTCAGCTCTTCAGCTCAAGGCTAGCTCTCTACCACTTGAGCCACAGCGCCACTTCTGGCTTTTTTCTTTTTGCTTATGTGGTGCTGAGGAATCGAACCCAGGGTCTCATGCATGCAAGGCAAGCGCTCTACCACTGAGCCACCTTCCCAGCCCCGACAGATCTCTTTTCTTGATACATTTGATGGATTTTTACCATTTCCCAGGTAATTTGAAATTAAAATATTTCTGATGAGATACATTTGTTCCTTGTTGCTATAATGGTCCACAATCTACGGGTGTTAATCACTTGGGAGTTAAATAAGTTGAAGCACCCAGTGGCTTAATGGTTTTATGTATTTCATTTTAAGGATAGTTCATGGGGCTGGCCTAGCATGCTGAAGACAGTGGGTCTGCCCCAGCTCAGGGATAGGAAGGAAAGGAGAAGGAAATTGAGAGGTCATAATTATTAACTTGGATTGTTTCTGTCTTGTTTAATTTTTAGCAAGCTTCACTGCCTACACTTCAGCTCTTGGGATTCAAGCAAAGAGTGGATGGTAGATATGCCTCAGCATGAGGATATTGAAGCCATTTGTCTTGGTCAGGGATGGGCTGCCGCCGCCACTAGTGCCTTGCTTCTTCGATTGTTTTCTATTGGAGGTGTTCAGAAAGAGATCTTCAGCCTTCCTGGGCCTGTGGTATCAATGGCAGGACATGGAGAACAGCTTTTAATTGTTTTTCATAGAGGTAGGATTTTTTCCTAGTTTTATAATTTGACTAGGACCTAAGTAAGACGGAAATTACTTGAGCTTTTCTGTTGTTGCTCTCTTTTTTTGGATAATATATACACCTCCTTTTGCATTTAGTGTTTGCATAAGTGAAGTCTTTGCGGAAAATTCTGTTGTATTTACTAATAGTAGTAAAAACAACATCTTATTTGTAGACTGTATTAAAGAGAAAATTTCAAGATGGAGTCTGGTTATTTCCATGCTTAAACCTTATCCTTTGGCAAGCACATCTTTCAGAGTTTAAATGCCTAAAAGATAAACCATTCTTTTCGTATGTAGGATCAAACAAAACAACCACAAAAAGCCAGAAGTAGGGGTTAGAGTCGTGGCTCAGTAGGTAGAGTGCTAACCAATGACCCAAAGTATCAGGTACCGAGTTTGAGTCCCTGTCTCAGACCTTAAAAAAATAAAGAAAAAGCCCAAAGTAGAGCTGTAGCTCAAGTGGTGGAGCACCAGCCTTAAGTGAAAAAGCTCAGGGACAGCACCCAGGCCATGAGTTCAAGCCCCAGGACCAATATAAAAATAAAGTCTGTGGACAATATTCACTCTTAGATTTCGTTTTTCTTTAGTATTAGTTAGAACTGTAAATTGGCTTTATGAGATATAGGACAAACATGTAGTTTGAGAAATTACTCTGGAATTTTATCAAAAACCACAGTTATAAATATATCTGTGGTCTATGACTTCTAAGTTGGTATCACCAGACCTATCTTACTCTATCTCCAGGCTCAAACATCCAATTGAAATCTGAAAATGGAGGGGTTTTTTGGTTATTTTGTTATTTCTGTCAGTCATGGGGCTTGAACTCTAGGCCTGGGCACTGTCCTTCAGTTCTTCAGCTCAAGGCTAGCACTCTACCACTTGAGCCATAGTGCCACTTCTGGTTTTTTCTGTGTATGTGGTGCTGAGGAATCGAACCCAGCACCTCATGCACAGAAGGCAAGCACTCTATCACTGAACTACCTTTCTAGCCCTGAATATGGAGTTTTAATAGTTGTCTCAAACTTAACTTCATCATAATAAAGCCCTGTTGCTTTTCCTTCTAAACTTGCTTTTTGCATAGTTTCTTTATTTTAGTAAATGCCTAACAATCCACTCGGTAAGCCCAAACTCCATCAATAAAGTCTTTCATCATGTCAATTCTCTTTTTTTTTTTTTTCAAATTTTTTATTGTGATTAAGTGGTTACATAATTTCCCAAATTTCACAGTATTGTGGGATAGTGATACTTAGTTAAAGTCACAAACACATTCTAACCTTCATGGAGCAAATTGTCTGTCAGTCTATAACATTTTATGAGTTCTATGAGCTTTGTGATACAGTTATTTCTTCCACATTGGGTGATATGTACATTTCTTTTGTTTTGCATAGATCAGCTGTTCCCTCTTTCCCACTGTTCCCTCCCTCCCATCGCTGCTGTTGAGTTGCTTAGTTCATTTTGGTCAATGTCCAGTGCAACTGATAGGTCCCACTGTTGTATGTTTTTCACTGATTCCCTATAGTTCTGTGTCATCCTCCTGGTTTCCCTCCAGTGTACATATATATACTATACATGTGATCAGCAGCATGGGTTTATTTAGTAGTGATTTGACCAGATGAGTGGAAATCCTTTGTTTCTTTTTTTTTTTTTTTTAAATTTTTATTTATTTTTTATTGTGAAAATACTGTACAGAGAGGTTACAATTATATGGGCAAGATGAGTACATTTCTTATCAAGCTTTGTAGCCTCCTCCTTTGTTTCCCCTCCCATCCCTTCCCATCCTCCCCCCGCCCCCCCACCCAATCCTCCCCTCCCCCCCCCACCAAAGTTGTAAAGTTCGTTTTCGACATAACAGCTTGTACTTCTCGATCCTTTGTTTCTTCAGTCCTGTTAATTTTGTCACATCACCTAACATTTTGGATTTAACATCCACTTATCAGGGAGACCATGTGCCGTTTGTCTCTTTGTACTTGGCTTACCTCGCTCAACATGATTTCTTCTAGTTCCATCCATTTCCCTGCAAATGCCATTATTTTGTCGTTTCTAATGGCTGCATAATATTCCATTGTGTATAGATAACACAATTTTTGGATCCATTCATCTGTGGTGGGACATCTGGGTTGTGTCCATATCCTGGCTATTGTGAACAGTGCTGCAATAAACATGGAGGTACATGTGTCCTTGTATACTGGTTCCTGTTGTTCAGGATAGATACCTAGAAGTGGTATGACTGGATCATAAGGGCGGTCAATATTTAGCTTTCTGAGGACCCTCCAGACTACTTTCCAAAGTGGTTGTATAAGTGTACATTTCCACCAGCAGTGTAATAGGGTTCCTCTTTCTCCGCATCCCCTCCAGCATTTGTCATTGGCTGCCTTGAGGATTTGGGCCATTCTGACTGGGGTAAGGTGGTATCTCAGGGTTATCTTTATTTGCATTTCCTTCACTACCAGGGATGGTGAACATTTCCTCATGTGTTTCTTTGCCATTTTTATCTCTTCTTCTGAAAAGTCTCTCTTTAGTTCCCTTGCCCATTTAATAATTGGTTCGTTAGGTTTGGGAGGGATTATTTTCTTGAGTTCCTTGTATATACTGGATATTAACCCCTTGTCTGATATACTGCTGGTAAATATTTTTTCCCAATTAGTTGGTTGTCTTTCTAGCTTGGTTGCTATAGCTTTAGCTGTGCATAAACTTTTTATTTTAAGGTAGTTGGTTGTCTTTCTAGCTGGTTTCTATAGCTTTAGCTGTGCAGAAACTTTTTATTTTAAGATAGTCCCATTTGTCGAGTCTCTCTCCAATTTGTTGTTACCCTGGGACTCTGTTCAGGAAGTTCCTTCCTGTGCCTATAAGTTCAAGTGTCTCTCCTACTCTGTCCTGCAGAAGTTTCAGAGATTCAGGTTTGATGTTAAGGTCTTTAATCCATTTTGAGATTCATCATGTCAATTCTATGGAATAACACATTCCAACTATGGCTCATTTTATTTCCTATATTTACACTCTAGTCCAACCTGTATGTTATATCTTAGTCTATCATAGTAGTCTCTTAACTAGCTTTTCAACTTCAAGTTTTGCCTTTTAGATCTATCCACATGGCTGCTTGGGTGACCTTTTCAAAACAGATCATTTCCCTCTTCTCTTCAATCTTTCTGACTTACTAGAATAACAGTTACACTATTTATGGTAGATGGCAAGTTGTTCTACTGTGATCTGTTGCACCATCTGGCCGCTACCTTGTCCCTTAAACTCATCTTTTGCCCCTTTCTCTCATTACCATATTCTTGCTATTCTGGCCATTTTGGTTTTGAGTTGAACTCTATTCTGTTAAGCTGTTCCTTCTATTTACTACAGTGTGCCTTCCCCTAACATTTGCATGCTAACCCCACATTGTAACTTGTATATAACTTAAGTTTTGCTTGCTTCCCTCCCTCCCCCCCCTCCCTCTCTCTCTTTCTTTCTTTTTCTTTTTCTTTCTTTCATTGTCTGTTGAGGGGCTTGAACTTAGAGCCTAGGTAATGTTCCTGTGCTTTTTTGCTCAAGGCTAGTGCTCTACCACTTTGGGCCACAGTGCCACTTTCAGTTTTCTGATGATGAATTGGAGATAGTCTTGTGGACTTTCCTGTCAAGGACTGTTCAAACTGTGATTCACAGATCTCAGCCTCTGAGTAGCTAGGATTACAGGTGTGAGCCACTGGTGCTGGCTTAAATTTTGCTTTCTATTTAAAGGCTACCTCTGACTTTCAAAGATAAAGCAATACTCAGTCTAGCATTCTGAATCACAGTAATATTTTATTCTTTTGTAGAGTTTTTTACTCTTCTGTTTTTCAAAATTTGTCTATCTTTCCTTTCCTGAATATGAATATGAAAACAATGATGTTTCTGGCCATTGTAATTCTTTTGCCTAGACCAGCCTGTATGTTCTCTGCAGATGTTTCTGGAGTAAATTATAACCACTTATAACTACTTCATATAAATTGTCCAGGCAACATACTATTCTGCTTCTAACACCTAACTACTGCCTTATGTGGTTTAACCATAAAAACAGTGTAAGCATTTAAAACAAGCATTTAAATCAATTTACATTTTAGCTCATTTTAGCTGAATAACCTTCTGATGTATATATGTACTCCCTCTCTAGGAACAGGATTTGATGGAGATCAGTGCCTTGGAATTCAGCTGCTGGAGCTGGGGAAAATGAAAAAACAAATTTTGCTTGGAGACCCTCTTCCTCTTACAAGGAAATCCTACCTGGCATGGGTGGGATTCTCTGCTGAAGGCAAGATAAACTTATTTCTATGTACTAAAGACATTTTAAAAAAGAAAATCATATTGTTTTATTCCTAATTTATTTCTTTAAAGATACATTCATTACATTTTCTTTTTTTTTTTTTTTTGGTTGGTCGTGGGGCATGAACTCTGGGCCTGGGCGCCGTCCCTCAGCTCTTCAGCTGTAGACTAGTGCTCTATCACTTGAGCCTCAGCCCCACTTCTCGCTTTTTCTGCTTATGTGGTGCTAAGGAATCGAACCAAGGGCCTCATGCATGCAAGGCAAGCACTCTACCACTGAGCTACCTTCCCAGCCCCATTCATTACATTTTCTAAAACTAATGAATTTTAATATGTTGGCAGAATTGGAAACCGAAGTTGTTAGGTAAAATAGCCATTTTATTTACAAAATCTCATCATGAGAAAACTGAAAACTTTTGCTGTAATGTACACATGAATGTACATATATGTAAATATGTTTGTATAACATTGATATATACATATGCATGTGGAAGAGATATAAAGTTGTCTTTTCCAAAAAATTCTACACGCAAAACTTAGGAATGTTTTAGAACTGTACTGTCCATTGTAGTGGCTGTTGAGCAGTTAAAAACTGGGGCACAACAATGGTGGGACGAAGGGTGAAAAAAATGCAACATTGGTTCTCATTAGATGCTATGTTGAAAATAAACTGTACTACTTGTGGGTGGGAATTGGAGGGGAAAACTGGGAGAAAGCAAGAGAAGAGATGACATTGTCCAAAAAGAAATATACTCTTTATCTGACTTACATAACTGTAACCCCTTTACAATAACAATAGAATGCAATAAAAATGTGGCTAATCTGAATTGAGATGTTATTAAGTATAGAATACTCTGAAATGTAAATATGAAATAAATTTAAATATGAAAATATATTTGAAAACAGTTTTTTATATTGATTGGTAGTATTTTGAATATATTGGATCATATAAAATATATTATTCAACTGTCCCCCTCCCTTTTTAAAAAAATGGCGCTATGAAATTAAAAATATTTCGGGGGAAGGAAAAACTGGGAGAGTGCTAGGGAAGAGATGACATTGTCCAAAAAGAAACGTACTCTTTACCTTACTTGGGTAGCTGTATCACTCACCCCTGTACATCACTTCTACAATAACAATTAAAAAAATGAGTGGGAACAACCCATATGTCTGATAAGAAAAAAATGTATTTTTGGCTTGCATGATGTTTCTGTTAGACATTGCTATAATAGACTCCTTTTTATAGTGGTTTATGTCATAATTTGAAGGACATGAATGTATATCTTATTTTAAAGCACCTGATAATCCTCTCTTGAGGGCTTCAATATTTCTGTTAAGAGATTCATGTCCCTTGTTTTTATATTGTCTATTAGGAAATTAGTCATTATGGCTTTAATAGAATCATTGTTCATAACCTCCATTTCTGTAATTTCTTTTACTAAGTACCAGTCAGATCCAGACCCCAAGGAAACTGACATTTGCAGTAAGAGGATTATGAAGCCACAGATAAGAAAGGGGTACTTACGTAATTTGCCATATATTTGCTGCAGTGTGCAGAGAAGGTGGAAACAGTGATGTACTGGTTTACCTTGGAGCTGGGGAACATGGTCATGAGGTCACAAGAGAAGAAGGAGAAAAATAGTATCCAAGTCATATTTCTTTAATCACCTCATACCAAGTTCTGCTCATTTTGCAAGTCTTTTTTAACCAGAAACCTTTAGATGTATGTTTAATATATTTAAAGCTAATACTGGCTTAAAATTAATTAGTGTTGTTTTCCAGCAGGTGGCATGGTTTTCACTAAAACTGTTAGATTTTTCTCTTTATTTGAGTAAAGTTTAGTTATGTCAATTGTAGTTTCTTTCTTCAGTAGGTCTTAACTCTGGCTATAAAATTTTACAGGAAATAACCTTGAATTATTTGCCTTTTTTTCCTTTGGGAATAGAAATGAGTACATGGTATATATTTTTTTCCCTTAGCATGTCTTTTTTTGTTTTGTATATATTTAAAAAAAATTTAATTGTTATTATAAAGGTGATATACAGAGGGATTATAGTTAAATAAGTGAGGTAATGAGTACATTTCTTTTTGGAGAATGTCATCCCTTCCCTTTCTCTCCTAGTTTTTCCCTCCCATTGCCACCCACAAGTTGTAGAGTTAGTTTTCAATATAGTGAGTACTACCGTTGCATTTGTTCACCCTTTGCTTAGCGTCTATTTTTGAAGTGAGCTTAATTTAACAAACATATCTTCAAGTGATTTTTTTTTGTTGATATGCAGGTACTCCCTGTTATGTGGATTCTGAAGGTTGTGTTCGAATGCTAAACAGAGCGTTTGGTAATACATGGACTCCTGTATGTAATACACGAGAACACTGCAAGGGAAAATCTGATCACTATTGGGTGGTCGGTATCCATGAACATCCCCAGCAACTGAGGTGGGCTATTATAAAATGGATAAAGTTAGCTACTTTTATTTTTTTTGTTTTTGTTTTGTTTTGTTTGTTTTTGCCAGTCTTAGGGCTTGAACTCAGGGCCTGGGCACTGACCCTGAGCTTTATATAAAGCTCAAGGCTAGCACTACCACTTGAGCCACAGTGCTACTTCCGGCCTTTTCTGTTTATGTGGTGCCAAGGAATCGAACCCAGGGCTTCATGCATGCTAGGCAAGCACTCTACCACTAGGCCACATTCCCAGCCCCTATTTTTTTAACATAAAGTTTTCTTTTTTTTTTTTTTTTTTTTGCCCCCATCCCAGCCCCTCATTTCATTATTGCTCCAGTTTTTGTGTTTTGTCTCCCTCCTGGAGAGTATGTCTGTACTTATTTGTTTTTTTTTTTTGTTTTTTTTTTTTTATTGTAAAGCTACTATACAGAGGGTCACAGTTACATGAGTGAGGTTATGAGTACACTTCCTCTTGAACATTGTTACCCCCTCCATTGTTTTCCCCCTACCATCCCCTCCCTCCCTCCCTTCCCCGAGGTTCTTTTTTTTTTTTTTTTTTTTTTTTGATTGTGATTAAATGATTACATAATTTCAAAGTCACAAGTTCATTCTAACTTCCCTGGAGCAAATTGTCTACCACAGTCTGTAATATATAACAGTGTTCACATGTTATATACCATATTTGTGATCAGCAGCATGAGGATATTTAGTAGTGGTTCAACCAGATGAGCGGGAGTTCTTTGTTTCTTAAGTCCTGTTAGTTTTGTCGTATCACTAACCTTTTGGATTTAGCATCCACTTATGAGGGAGACCATGTACCGTTTGTCTCTTCGTTCTTGGCTTACCTCGCTCAACATGATTCCTTCTAGCTCCATCCATTTCCCTGCAAATGCCATTATTTTGTCATTTCTAATGGCTGCATAATATTCCATTGTGTATAGATACCACAATTTTTGGATCCATTCATCTGTGGTGGGGCACCTAGGTTGTTTCCATATCCTAGCTATTGCGAACAGTGCTGCAATAAACATGGAGGTGCACGTGTCCTTGTATATTGGTTCCTGTTGTTCAGGGTAGATGCCTAGAAGTGGTATGACTGGGTCGTAAGGGAGGTCAATCTTTAGCTTTCTAAGGACCCTCCAGACTGCTTTCCAAAGTGGTTGTATAAGTGTACATTCCCACCAGCAGTGTAATAGGGTTCCTCTTTCTCCACATCCCCTCCAGCATTTGTCGTTGGCTGATTTGTGGATGTGGGACATTCTGACTGGGGTAAGGTGGTATCTCAGGGTTGTCTTTATTTGCATTTCCTTCACCACCAGGGATGATGAACATTTCCTCATGTGTTTCTTTGCCATTTTTATTTCTTCATTTGAGAAGTCCCTCTTTAGTTCCCTTGCCCATTTAGTAATTGGTTTGTTAGGTTTGGGAGGGATTAGTTTCTTGAGTTCCCTGTATATACAGGATGTTAACCCCTTGTCTGATATATTGCTGGTAAATATTTTTTCCCAATTAGTTGGTTGTCTTTCTAGCTTAGTTGCGATAGATTTAGCTGTGCAGAAGCTTTTTATTTTAAGGTAGTCCCATTTGTCGAGTCTCTCTCCAACTTGTTGTGACCCTGGGACTCTGTTCAGGAAGTTCCTTCCTGTGCCTATTAGTTCAAGTGTCTCTCCTACTCTGTCCTGCAGTAGTTTCAGAGATTCAGGTTTAATGTTAAGGTCTTTAATCCATTTTGAGTTGATGTTGGTGCATGGTGATAGGCTGGGGTCCACTTTTAGTTTTCTGCATGTGGCTGCCCAGTTTTCCCAGCACCAGCGGTTGAAGAGGCTGTGTTTCTTCCATTGTATGTCTTTGGCTCCTTTGTCGAATATCAGCTGGCTGTAGGCCTGTGGATTTATATCTGGATCTTCTATTCTGTTCCATTGGTCTTCGGGTCTGTTTTTGTGCCAGTACCATGCTGTCTTTGTGATTATAGCTCTGTAGTAGAGTTTGAAGTTCGGCATGGATAGCCCTCCCATATTGTCTTTATCCCCTAGAATTGTTTTGGCTATTCTAGGTCTTTTGTTGTTCCATATAAATTTTTGGACTGTTTTCTGTATTTCAGTGATGTACGTCATTGGGATTTTAATAGGAATTGCATTGAATTTGTATATTAATTTTGGAAGTATCACCATCTTTACTATATTAAGTCGGCCTATCCAGGAGCATGGGAGGTCTTTCCATTTCCTAGTGTCTTCTGCAATTTCTTTCTTTAACTTTTTATAGTTCTCATTAAATAGTTCTTTTACATCTTTGGTTAGGTTAATTCCTAAATATTTTATTTTTTGGGAGGTTATTGTGAATGGGGTTGCTCCCTTTATTTCCCTCTCTTCCTGTGCGTTATCAGTGTATAGGAAGGCAACTGATTTTTGTGGGTTTATTTTGTATCCTGCTATTTTGCCGAAGTGACTTATGATTTCTAAAAGTTTGGGGATGGAGTTTTTGGGATCGTGGAGGTATAGTATCATGTCGTCTGCAAAAAGGGATAGTTTCACTTCTTCTTTCCCTATGCGGATCCCTTTAATGTCTTTTTCTTGCCTTATTGCCCTGGCTAAGGGTTCTAGGACTATGTTGAAGAGGAGTGGAGACAGTGGACATCCTTGCCTTGTTCCTGTTTTTAGGAGGATTGGTTGTAGCTTTTCCCCATTAAGTATAATATTGGCTATTGGTCTGTCATAAATGGCTTTTATTGTTTTTAGAAATGTTCCTTCTATTCCTATTTTCTCCAGAGCTTTTAGCATGAATGAATGTTGAATTTTATCAAAGGCCTTTTCTGCATCTGTGGCGATAATCATGTGATTCTTGACCTTGGCTCTGTTGATATGCTGGATTACATTTATTGACTTACGTATGTTAAACCATCCCTGTGTCTCTGGGATGAAGCCTACCTGATCATAGTGTATTATTTTTTTTATGTGTTTCTGGATTCTGTTAGCTAGAATCTTGTTAAGGATCTTTGCATCTGTGTTCATCAAGGAGATTGGCCTGTAATTCTCCTTTTTGGTTGGGTCTTTGCCTGGTTTGGGGATGAGTGTGATATTGGCTTCGTAGAATGAGTTTGGGATAGCTCCCTCCTTCTCTGTTTCTCTGAAGAGCTTGAGGAGTATGGGTATTAGTTCTTCTTTAAAGGTCTTATAGAATTCTGCTGTGAATCCATCTGGTCCTGGGCTTTTTTTTGTTGGAAGACTTTTGATAGCTTCCTGTATCTCATTATAGGATATTGGCTTATTTAATTGGTTAACTTCTTCTTTGCTCAGTTTGGGTAACTTGTATTTCTCTAAAAATGCATCCATTTCCGCCAGATTTTCTTCCTTTAGAGAGTATAGCTTTTGAAAGTAGTCTGTTAGAATTGTTTGGATATCTTGGGTACGTGTTGTGATGTTTCCCGTGGCATCCCTAATCCTATTAATATGGGTTTCCTCTCTTCTTTTTTTAATTAATCTTGCCAACGGGCCATCAATTTTGTTTATTTTTTCAAAGAACCAGCTTTTTGTTTGGTTTATTTTGGTTATGGTTTTCTGATTTTCTAATTGGTTAATCTCTGCTCTCAATTTGGTTATCTGGCTTCGTCTAGTAGCTTTAGGTCCCATTTTTTCTTGTTTTTCTAGCTGTTTTAGTTGCAACATGAGATTATTTACTTGGTCTGTCTCCATTCTCTTGATGTGGGCACTGAGGGCAATAAATTTGCCCCTCAGGACTGCTTTTGCTGTGTCCCACAAGTTTCTTTGTGAGGTGTTTTCATTTTCATTGAGTTCTAGGAAATGCTTTATTTCTTCTCTGATCTCTTCTGTTACCCAGGCCTTGTTAAGGAGTGTGCTGTTCAATTTCCATGTATTAGAGAAATTTCTGCGGTATGCTTTGTTATTGAGAGCTAGCTTGATTCCACTGTGGTCAGATAGGATACAGGGGATTATGTCGATCCCTTTGTATTTGCTTAAGTTCCTTGAATGAACTATGATATGGTCTATTTTGGAGAAAGTTCCATGAGCTGCTGAGAAGAATGTGTACTGTGTTGTTTTAGGGTGAAATACTCGGTAGATGTCAGTTAATTCCGCTTGAAGTATGGCCTCACTTAATTCGGTAGCTTCTTTGCCAATCCTCTGGTTGGTAGACCTGTCCTTTGGTGAGAGTGGCGTGTTAAAGTCTCCTAGTATTATCGTATTGGGATCTATTTTATTCTGTAAGTTTGAGAGCATTTGTTTAACATATCTGGGTGCACCGATATTTGGGGCATATAAGTTGATGATGGTTATATCCTCCTCTTGGATTGTTCCCTTTATTAATATGTAATGTCCGTCCTTGTCTTTCTGTACTGATTTTAATGAAAAGTTTATTTTGTCAGATATCAGGATAGCTACACCTGCTTTCTTATTGGGGGAATTTGATTGGTAGATCCTTTTCCACCCCTTCACTCTGAGTTTGTTTGTATGTTTGGCTGAGAGGTGGGTCTCCTGAAGGCAACAGATGGATGGGTCTTGTTTTCTGATCCAGTCCTCAGTTCGTTTTCTTTTAATTGGCGAATTCAGCCCATTTATATTAAGAGAAAGTATAGAGAGATGCATTGTTGTCCCTGCCATTCCGTTTTCCTAAGTTTTTCTTCTTTCCTTTCCTCCTGTGCTTGCTCAGTTAGACTTTGAGTAATGCCTGTTTGGGGCAGGTCCCAGTTCCTGGTTGCTTTCTTCAGGTTGTGTCCCCCCTCTTAGAATTCTTTGTAATGCTGGCTTAATGTTTATGTATTCATTTAGTTTTTCTTTGCTATTAAAAGTTTTCAGTTCTCCATCGAATGTGAATGCTAGCTTTGCCGGGTATATCAGTCTGGGTTGGCAGTTATTGGCTCTCAGGGCTCGTATGGTGCTTTCCCAGGCTTTTCTTGCATTCATTGTTTGTGTGGAGAGATCTGCAGTGATTCTAATTTTTTTCCCGTTGTAGTATAGCTCCTTCTTCATTTTTGCTGCATG